GAGGTCCAATTTATGATTGCCATAAATAATTTTGGTTACTGTAATGCAGATAGAATGGGTACTGACACTAGCAAAACTCAGAAAATTTATTCTTGAAACAGTTGGTGCTGTGATTTTGCTCTTTCATCATTTGCCTTTTTTACTAAAGATGCCTTGGAGTATGTGCTGCATAACTCCTAGACAATGTACTATGCCAACATTTACTAGGACATAAAATTCCTAAGCATGTTTCCCAAGTAATTTTGCTCAATTGTGTTAGTATGATGTTCTCTTTTTAAAGGACTATTGCCATTAAGATATTATTGACAAATATTAAGTTGGTTTAATGTTTAAGAATCTCTTTTTTAGTATGAGGTAAGTCTGTTCAAATAGTAACTTTGCCATTTTCTAGTTATAAAATTTCAAGAGCAATTCTAGGCAACAAAAACAAATTGGGAGGTATTAATATGCCAGATATCAAACTATACTACAAAGCTGTTGTAATTAAAACAATCTGGAATTGGCACAAAAATAGGATTATTGACCAGTGGAACAGATGTGAGAATCCTGATATAAAACCATCGTCATATAGCCATCTAATCTTTGACAAAGCAGACAAAAACATACGCTGGGGAAAAGAATCCCTTTTCAATAAATGGTGCTGGGAAAACTGGATAGCCACTTGTAGAAGGTTAAAACAGGACCCACACCTTTCACCTCTCACAAAAATCAACTCACGCTGGATAACAGACTTAAATCTCAGATATGAAACCATTAGAATTCTAGAGGAAAATGTTGGAAACACTCTCCTAGACATCGGCCTAGGCAAAGAGTTTATGAAGAAATCCCCAAAGGCAATCAGGAAATAAATCAATTCTTAAAGCCTTGATTTCATCATTTATAAAATGTAGATATTATTCATACTAAGTCCTTAATTTCTTGTAAGTATAATTATGAGAATGCATGTAATTCACACAGTCTGATATAAAATACTCAAATTGATAGCCAACACCTCTTGTCATGATGATTATTATTAAAATGCAAGGAGAGATGCTATTGTACATGATCATAATAAGTCTGATTCTGTCAAGATGGACAAAGGTTTTTCTAATAAATATACCTCTTTTCTATACTTCCTAATTGGCTGAACCGACCACCCACCACTAGGTAATTGTTCAGCTAGAGTGCCTACCTTACTGAAGCTTGTATGTGGGAGACATGGAGTGAGCAAGTAGACACATAAAATGTATGTTATGATTTCAGGTGGGATTACTAAAGAAAAATAATTTAGAGGGATATGTTATAGAGTGCCTGGGGAAGACAAAGGTAAATTTACTAGCTGTAAATATAGAAGATGAGTGTAGCAGACATAAGGCAAAGGTAATGAAGCAAGGACAAGGACAGTGTGTGAAAGTGAAATGAGCAAGGAGATGAAGTTAGATAGGTAGGCAGAAACCACATGTATTTAGGATATGATAGCCTATACTAAGGAATTTGGATTTAATTTTTTGTGTGATGCAAAATCATTGGAGGGTTTTAAGCAAGATTTATGAGATGGTTTGTATTTTTAGAAGATATCTTTAATAGAATGGAAGCTAAGAGCCAATTAAGGGTCCACTCTAGGTAGCTAAAGAAGATGAGAAGACATTAGGGCATATGTTCATTGAGGTATTGGCAGAACATAGTGATGATTTGTTATGTAGTCTAAGAGAAGGGATCAATGATCACCCCTAAGCTTTGAAATAGACAATCTTTGTAAAAGGTGGAAGAGATACAAATTTAGGAGAAAAAAATCATTATTCTGGTTTTGGATATGTTGAGTTCAACATAGACTGTATAGTTGACAATTATATACACTAGTTTGAACCTTAAAGGTTGAAAGTTCATCCAGAAATTAAAATTTGGGAGTTATGAACAAAAAGAAGAAATTTAAAGTCTTGAAAAATATTTAAAGACTAGAAGAGATCCTTGAGGCCTAGAGTAGACATGAAGAAGATAGATCTTCTTGTGACAGAGCCTGGGAAAACTCCAACATATCGCAGCCAAGAAGAGTGGGAGCCAGCAGAGCATCTGAGACAGAGCAGCTAGATAGAAAGAAAGAAAAGAAGAAGATTAAGTAAAGTTAAATAAAGAATGTGTTCTTAATTTTAGCCATTCTATAGATGAACAGTGGTACATAACTGTGATGTTTATTTGCATTTATTTAATGACTACTTATGTTAATCAGTTTTCTTGTGATTATTTGACATCCATATATCTATGAAGTGTCTGTTCAAATACTTTGTTCATTTAAAAAATTGAGTTATTTTTTCCTTATAATTGAGTCTTAAGAGCTCTTTACATATTCATTCTAGATTCAAGTCCTTCATAGACATTTTACAAAGATTTTCTTTCAGTCTGAGACTTGTCTTTTCATTCTATCTTGTGAAGATATAGAGTTTTAAACAATTTTGATGAAGTCCAATTTACCAATTTGTTCTTCTACAGATTGTAAATTCAGTGTATTATCTAAGAAATCTTTGTCTAACTCAAGGTCACAAAATTTTTCTCTTTTGTTTTATTCTAAGTGTTTTAAACTTTCAGGTTTGACCTTTAGGTATATGATTCATTTTGTGTTAATTTTATATGATGAGTTGGGAAGGATGTAAAAGGAAGTAGAACTCTTGTGTGCGGCTGGTGGGAATGTAAGATACAATAGTCACTTTGGAAAACAGTTTTGCAGCTACTTAAAAAGTTAAATATATATCTACCTACTATATGATCAGGCCATCCCACATCTAGGTATTTACCAAAGAGAAATGAAAGCATCCACACAAGAAAACATATACACACACATGTTCCTAGCAGCTTTTTGTTTGCAATAGCTGAAAACTGAAAATAACCCATCAACACATAAACAAACATTGATATATTGATACAATGGTATACTACCCAGCAATTAAAGAGGAATGAACTATTGATACATACAACAATTTAATGAATCTCAGAATAATTATGCCTAGTGAAAGAAACCAGACAACAAGAATTACATACTGTAGCATTCCATTAGCATGAAACTATATAAAATGCCAACTAATCAATAGTGAAAGAAAGCAAACTGTGGCTTAGGATTGGGGGAGGGGGATGGTAATGAGGTGGGTATGAGAAAGAGGTGACTAAGGGATGTGAGGAGACTTCTGGGTGTAATGGATATGTTCATTATCTTGATTGTAGTGAATTGTGTCACGAATGTTTATAGATGTCAAAATTTATCAAATTGAATGCTTTAAGTATGTGCAGTTTATTTATGCCAGTTTTACCCCAATAAAGCAGTTTTTTAAAAAGGAAAAGAAGAGAATGTGTTCAAGGAGATGGTGATTAATGGGATGTGTAGTATATAAAAGGACTGAACTTACATATAATAATCAGGGAATTATACAAATCCAGAAGGCTCTACATTTATCCGATAACCCAACTGGGATTCAGGAACCAACATGAGTAACAAATTATTTTGAAGGACAGTCATGAAGATGACAGCACAAAGAGCACTGACTGTTCTCAGAACTATCCTTACACCAAAGAATCATTAAGTATAACTAAATCAACAGTCTGTGGAGGTAATGTCCTTTCTTCTTTTGCATCAGAATAATGCCAAATAGAGGGTTTTTTTCCCTCCCTTTAAAGAATATAATGCTATAATGTAGTTTCTGGGTTTGAAATCAAATTCTACAGCATACTAGTTCTCTGCTTGAATTGTTTACTTGCCTTCTAGGATTTAAGAAATTTATAAGCTCTTAGCACTGAAAAGATTATAGTGTTCTCTCACCCAGTATCACCCTCTATAGTTCCAAATAAAACCAATCTAAGCCTTAATATACATGAGGATATCTGACAAAATTTTGACTGTTCCATTATAATCACTTTGATTCTTTTAAAAAAAATTATTCAATTTTAATTTCTTTTTTTAAAAATGAGATTTTTTTGTTTGTTGTTCCAACTTATCTTGGGCTATCTCTGGAACAATTCAGCATCCTTTAACTCACTATAAGCCTCAAATTCATTAACTATAAAATGGATGATAAAGTACACATACATCCTCATTAGTATGGTTCTTGCACATAGCACTCAACAAATGTTAGCTATCATTATTTTACTATTATTACTATCAGCATCACTATTAAAGTTATCTTAAAGGATTGTTGTGAGGAATAATTTTAGTGATATATGTTAATACTTGGTAATTAGCACAGATTACCAGAGTAGATGGTAAATAATTTTTGTTCCCTTCTCTTCCATTCCCGTTCCTCCATTTTACCACAGTCCTCCACACTTTATCATTCTCTGAGTATCAAAGAATTCAAATAAGTATATTAAAAAGAAACTTATTGTTTCAGATGATAAAATGTTAAGGAAACACTGGGTGTTTTGGGAGGCAGATGTGCTTTACATAATTAAAGGAAAGTGAGAAGACTCTCAAGGCAACCATTATTTTTTTCTCTCACATGAATCATTTTAAAATAACTTTATTGATTCAGACGAAGCTATCTTTAGAAATAAAGATTCAGCAACATTTCAACCCTGGAAATATGAGATAATTAAATGGAATTTTTTACTTCTATAATAAAAGGCTATGCATTTAAAAAATCAGTTTAGGGCTGGCCGTGGGGGCTCACGCCTATAATCCGAGTACTTCAGGAGGTCTAGGTGTGAAGATTGTTGGAGGCCAGGAATTCAAGACAAGCCTGAGCAGCATAATAAAACCAGCTCTCTACATAAATATACAAAACATTAGCCTGGCCTGGTGGTACATGCCTTTAGTCTCAGCTACTTGGGAGGCTGAGGTGGGAGGATCTCTGGAGCCCAGGAGTTGAAGGTTCCATTGAATCCATTGAGCTTTGATCACACCACTGCATCACCTTTGCCTGGGCAACAGAGAAATCCTGTCTCTTCATTTAAAAAAAAAAAAAAATTAGCTTAATATTATCACTATCCTTTGTTTGCATTTTGTGACAGTAAATTAATAATACATAATTTCATTTTAGGGATTACCTGGAAGTCGTGTGAGGTATAGAGTAGATGATGTCCTGTTTCCTTACCCTGCCAGTATTTTTGATGTAGAAGAAGATTCTGGAAGAGTAATAACTCGAGTTAATCTTAACGAAGAACCTACAACAATTTTTAAGGTCAGTGCATCATTTTTCTAATGTTCTCTATTTGACATTTAACTTTTAATTTAGAGTTTGTTTTCACAGATAATAGCACTTTTTCCTTTCCATTTTTCTCCTCGTTAATCTTTTAAAATTACAAAACATTGTTTCTTAATTGAAACTTAGAAAATATAGTTAAATAAAAAGAAAAAAATTCCTTGATATTTTACATCTTGAAGATAACTAGAACTTAATATTTTGATCTCTATCCTTATGATGACATTCTATACAAATACTAGCTTATAAATATATCCTTTCTAATACCATGATCTTATTCATACTGCTTTTTAAACTCAATAATATATTACCCATGCCAATAAATAATGCTATGATTTTATTGATTTCATGATGTTCTATTGTATGAGTATACCATTATGTTTTTCTTTTTAACCTGATAACTTGTTGGATAATTAGGTTATTTCAAATATTTTGTTACAATATATTCTGCTGTCTTGAAACTGCTTGTGCAGATAACATTTGTCACTTGCTGATATTTTTTCTTAAGGAAGTATGAACAAGCAGAATTGCCAGATCAAGTTTATATTACGTATTTTTGATATATTATACTTCTAGAAAATTTGAAAATAATTACCCTTTAGTATACATTCTTCATCTTTCAGAATAGTACCCATTTTCTTAATAGCACCCAACAACAGATGCATATCTTTGCATATCTCTAGCTTTGCATATCTCTAGAAATATATATAGCTATTTGATTTTTGTTAAATTTTACTTTTCTTTAATTACCAGTGGAAAAGAACATATTACCTCTTTTGTTTTTAGCTTATTTTAAAAATATAGTTGACAAAATAATGCCTATTTCTACGTGTCAAGAAAATATTGGAAATATATTAAACTAAATAATCCATTTTATTAAATATTGAGGCATTACCATCTTTGACAGTTACTTAGAATAATTTTTGTCACTATGAATGAAACCTTTGACTCAACACTAGGGAAATACGTTTATTGGTTAGCCATGTGAATATCAATGTCTCACATGATCTACCAATGTTTGGAATAGCTGTTCTGTTTGTATACTAGTATTAACCCAGAGAGGATTGTGACTCTCAAAATGATACTTAGTTATGGTCTTCTACAATCTAGGTTAAATTAGTTTAGATTAGTAACCTGTAAGTTTCCAGAGAATATGTATTCCAGAGAAACACATAGCTTTGAAAATATTTAACATGTCTTAAAATAAACATAATTATTCTTGATGAGGTACAGGTTATTAAAAATAATTATCAATTATAAAAGCTATTACAATAATAAATATTATACAGATATCACATCCCAACACTAAAGTTTTCCTTAGTTTGCATTATTTGAACAATTTTTGCTATACCATACAAACTTGGTTTTATATAGTTTGTTTCTAAGAAATTGTGTAATGAAGCATGTTAAATTATAAAGATTCCCAATTTTAACCTCCAGAATGAAATATCTCTACTGTATAATCTTGAAGACAATTAGTTTACTAGAAAAATTAATTTATTTTTATGAGCAAGCTAATTAGATTTTTTTCTATTGATGTGACTCAATTTAACACTTTTTAAATAAGTGTATTGGTGCTATAAAATCACATGTTTGCTGTGGGCACCAGTGGAATTGTGGAAGAGAAAAGAGTTATAACTACAGAGATATAGTATCATGTATCTGTTTTACTGTTAGTTTTTATTATTATTATTATTATTATAGAGTTAGTAACTTCTTTGAGTTTTCTCATCTGGAAAATGAAAATAAGAACATTTAACTGGCTGGATTGTTGTAAAGATTAAATGATAATGTAGCAGATCTTAGCACAATGTCCTAGGCAGTAAGTAAATAATCATTGCTGCGCCTCCTGGAATAGGGAGATTAAAAACGCACATATAAAAACAATTATTTTATATTCTTGTTTATAATCTTTACCCTGGATTTTTTATTCTTTTTAAGTTGGTGGTGGTTGCTTTTGATGATGGTGAGCCTGTGATGTCCAGCAGTGCCACAGTGAAAATTCTTGTTTTACATCCTGGAGAAATCCCACGTTTCACACAAGAGGAATATAGGTATTAATTTCTGTCTGCTTTTGATATACATAAACTGTATAGTGTTTGGGAGGGAGTCTCTCACAATTGATATAATATGAATTTATTAGTGAAGTGGAATTCCAATTCTAGTTTAAGCTCTTCTAAATTAATATAATATTTGTTTTAAAGTTTAATACAGTTAATGTAACAATTTAAGATAAAAATATGTTTTCGTAAAACATATTTGATATTAGCTTTGATGAATAATAGATATTTTATAAATAAGTAATGAAAGCTTTAAAAATACAACATTATATATTTGGGTTTAAATTTGAACTTATAAATGACCTTAATGGTGAGAAGTAGACTTTTAGTTTCTCATTATTGCCAGGTAGAATATGTCATCCAATTTCCAATTTTGACATGTAATCTGCAATGATATTTTTCATCCAGTTAATATGAGAGTGTGTATGTGTGTGTGTGTGTGTGTACTCACCAGTACTATGTTATATATTATAGTTTATAGTCAGTATATATAGTGTCAGCTAGTCAGCTCAGGCTGCCATAGCAAAATACCATAATCTGAATAGCTTAAACAACAGAAGTTGATTTTCTCACTGTTGTGATGGCAAGCAATCCAAGTCCAAGATCAAGATGCCAGTATGGTCAGGTTTAGCCTTTCTTCCTGTCTTAAAGCCAGCTGCCTTATCATTGCGTCGTCATATGGCGAAGCGAGAAAGCAAGCTCTCTTGCACATCTTTTTATGAGGGCACTAATCCCATGATGAGAGCTCCGCCTTCATGGCCTCATCTTAATCTAATTATTTCCCTAAAACCCCATCTCTCAATACCAACTCACCAAGATTAAGGCTTATATTATATATATATACATATATATATATGCATTATAAACATTGCCATTACTCATATTGAATCATGAAGCAATCATGAAATATAGCAACTTTAATTTCACTATATTTTCAATAAATTCTTCACTACCAGAGGCTCACAGCTTTCAGCTGGAAACAAAGAACTGATGAAAAATACAATACACTGTGAAGACACAATAATAGAGAAAAGATCACAGTACTGAGGAAGTATGTTGGAGAGACACTTAACTATTTCTGAACATAATCAGCACAGTTTTAAGCTGTATCTTGAAGGAAAAGTAGAGTTTAGCCAATTTACAAAGATGTGGACAGATGTTCCACACCAGAGAATCAGCATATATAGAAGTATTAATATGGGATGTGGGAGTCTTTATTGAATTTCAGAATATTTTAGTAGTTTAGTCTATCCAGACACAAATTGGAAGTTGGACAATGATATTATTTGAGCCTCAAGAGAAATGAAGAATTCAGATAATAGAGGGCTTTATTATGGCCTAACAGAAGTCCTCAAACTTTTTAAACAGGGAGCCAGTTCACTGTCCCTCAGACTATTGGAGAGTGCACACTGCGGGCCCAGGACGAGTCAGCTGCTAAGCAGGACAGGCAGTGACCGCAAAAACACCCAGAGGGCCGTATAAATGTGCTAGGCGGCCCGTATGTGGCCCTCGGGCCGTGGTTTGAGGATACATCGTCTAGAATTTTGATTTTAGTGCTTTATTATTTCTAGGTTTTAAGCTAGAGCAGGAGCTAAGGTACTTAGGGATGAGGTGCTTAAGGGGCTCATCTGGGAACATGTAACACACTGAACCAAGTAGTTTTCTCCTTTCATAAAAAAACTCTCTTTATAATATTCTAGCACAAAATTAAATTATGTAATATAATTACCAGAAAACCCTCCCTAGCAATTATGTAAATCACTGAGATGTAAATTATAAGTAAAACAAGTAAGAAATGTTGGTCAATCTGTTTCAAAATCTTATTCGCTCCATCCTGTCCATTATTACCAGTTCTATTCCTTTATTACTGGGATGGTAACCTGTGGACTCCAGTTCTCTGCTATGGGGATACAGTAGTTCCCCCTTACCCACAGTTTTCCTTTCCACAGTCTGTTTCTATGTTCAACTGTGGTCAGAAAACATTAAGTGAAAAATTCCAGAAGTAAACAATTCGTAAGTTTTAAATTGCCTGCCATTCTGAGCAGCATGATGAAATCATGTGCTGGCCTATTCTGTTCCACTGGCGATGTGAATCATCCCTTTGTGAAGCGTATCCATGTTGTGTATGCTACTTCTCTGTCAGTCACGTAGAAGCTGTCTCAGTTATTAGCTCAAAACAAACACACTATGTATAAGTTTTTGTATTATCTCAGGTTTCAGGCATTCGCTGGGAGTCTTAGAATGTATTCTCTGTAGATAAGGGGGGACTACTGTTTACAATTTTCTGTTTTGGGAGAACTTTTCTGAATGTGTTAATTTTGATGTTCTCAAGAACCAAGATGGTATAAATTGACTTGGTATGTTTCTAACTAACTTATCTGGATAACATGTTCACAAAAAGTGAACTTACTCTTTCAGGTGGATCCAAAAAACACTCGCATTTCCATCCCCATATAATTTCTTCCTTTGTTCTTCAAAACCCCTTATTTCTAAGTCTGGCCATTCTTTGGAAACTCTAAGAAAAGAAAGTGGTAGAGTGCTTAAAATGTCCTCTTTAAATAAACTCAGTAAGTTGTGGCCCTTTTCTCTGGGATTTTATTTGGAGCTCATTTCCTTATTAATAGAAGTATGCCTCCAGACTTCTTTTTTAGCTAAAATATTGTGGCATTGAGGCCAAGGTCATGAGTTAAATCAGGACTTTGCTCACTTAACTTTTTTAAGTGTCCTTGTTTAATGCCACTTTTTAAAAATGCAAATGTTTTGTTGAAGGAATAATTTACCATTTCATACCATCTTAGAACGACTAACTGCAAATAGATTCTATTAATAAAGTTGTTAACTTAGAGAACAAAAACTAGCCAATTACATGGTGCTAAAAGTAACATCAGTCACATGGGTACATCTGGGAGAATTTTGACCTTGTAGAACTTTTCTAACAATTGACAAATTGCCCTTGATTATCCCAGTTCATTTGGAATTCTAAGTTATAAAGGTAACTTGATAATCTTATTGCATCCTACTGTTTATGGATAGGATGTACAACTGGACACAAATAACTCCCAGTGATGCTAAAAATCAATATCTTAGTTATAATGGATTCAGTAGTTCTTGGGTACTGAAAAGGATGGTTTTGTTTTTTATCAAATCCCCAGAAAAGTTAAATCATAAAAAAGTAATGCTTAATATGGGCAGAGGGCAGTATCTTTGTATAAATGCAAATAACTGAATTTAAATGTTTAAATAGGTTTAAATTTGAACTAAACATGGAATGAGCTATAAAAAAAGTTAAGATTATTTTCTTCAATCATCTCTCCATCCTTAGGAAGATTGTTGGAGACATGTATAGCAGTGTGTCTGAAGGTCTACTAAATCCTTTCCTCTTTCTCACAGGCATAAAACCACATTTCCTTACCTTATTCGCTGGGTGAGCCATATGACTAAATGTTGGCCAATAAAATGTGGAATTAAGTGGTCTGCACCATTTCCTGGCCAGGCTTAACCTTCTCCCTTTATGGATGAGAAAATATCCAGGGGATCTTTAAGAACAATATGCTGATAATTATAGAAACACAGATAAAAGGAACCTAAGCCCCTGAATCCCAGCTTGGAGAAGAGCTGCCAACCTAAGAACACCCTCAATGAACTCTGTGTTCAAGAAGAACTCTATGTTCAAGCAAGAAATTTAGGAGTTTCTTGATTATATTAGCTACTATTGTTTCAACTTATATAAATTGTTCAACATTTTGTTGGTTTGAAACAACTAATACATAATATATTAATCATATTAAACATCTTGCTCATTTATGTTGCAATGTTTCATAGTTTTGAGATTTTTAAAACAGTATACATGGTAGAATACTTTTATTCTTGTATGCTATTTTATTCTTAGGTTCTTATATGCTATTTTATATTTAGGTTCAATTGATAGATTTGGCAATATGCCTTTGCCACTTCAGATTGCTTTCTAGACCAACATATTTCCCTTCCTTTATAGAAAAAAAAAATTAAGCATAGCATGGCTTCTGAAAACTTCACATGCCTCTTTCCTTCTTTAATGTTTTCAGATTTGTTTACTATGTCTACTGGGGTGCATGTACTCCCAGCGATGTTAAACAATGTTATTAATCCTTGCTTATCAGGATGATCCCCTCTGTTGGGATTACCACAGGTGGAAAAACTTCTATTTCCTGCAATCAAATTTTGGGGAGAAACAAAATGATAGTGCAAGATTTCTGTTCTTTGTGAGGTGAGGGGAGAAGGTCATGAGTTGAAATGGAAAGCATCAATCTAAGATAAGTAGCATTGTGAGCTAAGGTACACATGGTTTTTGTATCTCAGGAATGTCTTCATTCCATTATTGATGTTAGAATTCCTTAGGAAAAATTAGTTTTCAACAAATAACCAGGTGTTAAAGATTTTCAAGATAAAATATTCATTTATCTTAAAATTTTAAACTCAATTATTGACCCACACTTCTCCCTCCCCCCACTGACCTAGTTGTTTTATTTTTATTGGAATGGCCACTAAATTATTAAATCTCAGGGTAATCAGAGTAGTTAGAATAGTTTAGGCCACTATAAAAGGAAATCCTCAAGTTTCAATGGTTTAAAGTGCAACAACCAAAAAAAAGTGTATTTTTGCTAATATGACAATCTGAGGTGGTTATTTCAGGTTAGCAGTAATTTTTCTCCAGGCAGTTCTCTGTGTAGTTATTCAGGGACTGGGGCCAGCTCAGAATCTATCATCTTCAACATTCTGCTTCAAAGTAACTCCAATCATTCTGTTTCCATTTAAGTTAGTGGAAAGGGGAAATGGCAGAAATCAACATCTAGAGATCTCTTTAACCAAGTGACATGGGAATTGCAAATTTTATTTTATTTTGTTAATTTTTTTATTTTAGCATATTATGGGGGTACAAATGTTAAAGTTACATATATTGCCCATACCCCACCTCCCCCTTTGAGTAAGAGCTTCAAGCATGTCCATCCCCCAAA